GCCAGGAGCCCCTAGTAGCGTCCTTGCTCCTAGTAGCCATGCCAGGAGCCCCTAGTAGCGTCCTTGCTCCTAGTAGTACGTTTTCACCGTTCGCCTCAGAGCCGGGCGTAAGCTGCGCCAAAGCAGCTAGATCGATCCATGGCAGCTCAAGCAGCGCCTCATGTCGAGCCGTAGGGTGGGTGACAAAGTGATTGTCGCAACGTTCATATTCGCTTTGCGAATTCATTTCTAATAGGTTTTTGTTACTACTAGTAAGGCACTTGTTACTACTAGCGTGGCACTTGTTACTACTAGCTTCATTTCACCGCTTGATGACATTGTGTGATGCTATCTTTCCTGGGCAGTCACAGGTATGGATCAGATTGATTTGAATGAAGACCAAAACATTTCGAACAATAAAGGGAAAACATGGGAAAAGAAAGCTAACAGGCAAATGTGACTGTGCCATTAACAGCTTACGCATCAAAGGCTTGGTCTGATGGGAAAAAAATCAGACTCCGCCGGCCTCATCGTTCTCAGAGCTCTTCTCAAAGTAGCTTGACAACTCCTCGCGACTCCAATCAAGCACCTGATGCTCCGCCAAGCTTTGTCGTGCGCCTCTATCAGTTTCAGATCGTCACAAAGGAACTTCTCACGCAGCTGATGCCTCACCAGCACGCGCAAGATTGCACCATTGCACCTCTTCAATTGCACCTCTCTAGGCTCTCTAGGTAACATGAATTAACATAATCAACTACAGTAATAATAACATCTAACCGCCTGATGTTGAATGACCAGAATGATGCTAAAACCATGAGATCTGTACGAGAAAAGATATATGCTTTGTCAAGCATTATTGGAATCACTTTTGGTTCAGTTGGAATCATTCTTTCATCGATGGAGAACTCTCACGGCCTGAGACGCTCGCATTCGAAGGCAAGGCCTACAGGCACCTACACCAAACAGCTGAGCCGATGTCGTTGAAACTTGTCTCAAAAAGTATTGGAAGAGGTCGAGAGACCTACACCGGCGTTGGTAGCACTCTTGCATGTGTCATGGCATTCTCATGGCATGCTCCGTATTTTGTTGCAAAAGAACGTCTGATGTCGAACCTCTACCACGTCATATTCCACGTCCTCAGCATCTGCGCCATACTCAACAGGCACCTGAGAGGCCAAAACTGGTTCAGCGTTGCAAGCGCACGGAAGCAGAAAACAGTGTCCAAGACTTAGGGACTGCAAAGCGAATTGTTTCTATATTAGACCGTTCTTCCTTTCCTTTTTTTGTTTCTACTAGCGATGGCATCCAACCTAATATAGATGGCCTCCAACCTAATAGCAAACCATATTACAGTCTCCTCATGCTTATATTTAATTGAGTAGGCGCCTACAAGAAGTAAGGGAGCAGTTCGCTATTAGCAATAGGAAGCTCCTAGCTAGGATGCAGGATAGCTCACACACTAATGATACTTGGGGAAACTTATACCTCCTAGTACCGTCCTCTACCCCCCTAGTAGCGTCCTTGTTCCTAGTAGTAAGGCCAGGAGCCCCTAGTAGCGTCCTTGTTCCTAGTAGCGATGCCCTTTGCTCCTAGTAGCTTCTTGTTCCTCAAGCCTTCCAAAGGCGATTTGGTCTCGTCATGTTCGTTTTACTCCACACGGAAAATTGTCGAGGGCGCCTGGCAATCCACCACGGGTTCTTTGGCTGGACCGCGGTTTGTCCACCTGCAAGTCAGAGTCTCTGCGGAGTTTGGCTGGGAGTCGCGTCGTCGCCTTTCCAGCTGTTCCAAGACTTTTCTTCGATGAAAGGCTTCCTGCAGCCGTCTGTACCTGGCAGCATTCTGATCTGACTCTTAAGCTGTTCGTCTGAATCCTTCTAGCACATTCTATAAGTTGTTCGGAGCACGCGAGCACTGATAGGCCTCCAAGTGACTTTGCGCAGTGGAAAATACTTTGAAAATATGAGACATGAAAAAAGTATGCACACATCTCAGACTATTTGTGGCAAAGAACAGGCTTGAAGCCTGAATCTATGGCAAGTTTAGCCGTAAAAGGGTCCAAGAACGAAAGTAGAATTGAAAAGGTGTCCAGTGGCTTGGACCTTCTTCAGCCACACTCTTGTGAGGCGAGTGCCGCTTGCGTGCCTGCTGCGGCTGCCGCAAGTGCTACTTTGGCAAGGCTTCTGAGCCTTTTCCGCCTGAGTGCAACATCATAAGCCCTACCGGCCCTACCTTTTTTGGTTCCTCTCTTTTCAATATCTGTCTTCTTTCTCAAACTGCTCAAGCTCTTTCAACAGCTCCAAAGAGGAAGCTCGATGCTACCAAGGAGACTGCCACAGCATGTGGATCGACATAGCATAGAAGTGCTCAGAAAAGAGTCTAGAAGTTGTCCCTTGGCCTCACTTAATATCTGCCCCTCCCTCGTCGGTATCGAACAAAGTGTGAAAGGAATAACTGTGCTCCAACAACACGAAGTTGGTGCTACCGTGGAGGGAATCGCTCGTCAAGCTGAGCTTGAGGTCTACAAATGCGACAATTTCTGGTCCTGGGTTGGTCAACCTGCCTGGGTCCACTGCATCTGTCCTAAAGCAGTCTTCGATAGATCGAGGGCCAAGTTCCGCAAGATCCACAGACAGCAAAGGACAGAAAAAGAAGTTTCGCAAACAAAAACACGTGTCCACGTTTCAACGTTTCTGGGCGTTTCTGCCACGTTTCACCTCTTTTTGTGGCGCGTCTTTTGGATTGAATGCAAACAGCGCTGCGGCTTCCTCAAGTGCCTCACAAAGATTAGTTGGATGTATTAGTGATTCTTTTTGCATGCCTTTAAAACAGATAAACCATGATAAACCTCTCTATCTCTTCCGCCTGTATTCGGATGATTCATTTGTCTTATCATACCGTAATTCTATGTAATTCTACTAAATAACTCAAAGTCTATTCAATCGTGTGCTCTAAAAGTGCCTATTGGATCACAAACCGTCACACACATGTTTCTTTTGCAAAACATCCTTCCTTTCTTTGTTCCATTTGCTTTTCCTTCCCGAATTCTCATCTTCCGGTCCTCAAAGACCGTCTCACCTTCAGCACCAGGGATGCTATTGATGCTGAGAAGGGAGCCTCCTATCAGCTCGGGCGCAAATCAAAGGCTGCCAGATGCTACGCGATACTTGCGCACTTGTGATCTCATCCAAGAAAAGCTTGGAATCTCTTTGAATCTATCCGAAGCATTCCGAATGCATTCCTATTAGGTTGGAGGCCATCGCTCTTAGGTGTTCAAACCTGTTTGGGTCCTGAAAGCTCGCCGCCTTGAGGTCTCCTTTTCCTCTTACGCGGAAGTGCCGGCACCTGCATCCAGGTTGCGAGCAACATCCAGCAAGACTATCCACATCTATTCAAGAACACTCTATGTAGACATGCTACGTTGTTCAGTTCTGTTCTGGGCTACAATGTGATTGGTACCATTATTTTTCTGTATAAATTGTAAATGTCCTTACTTCTCATGTGCAAACAAAACGCAGACAATTTAATCGCACAGAGGCTACGCCTGCGCAGTCACTGGAGCCAAAGGCACTTTGTCCTTCTTCAAAGTTGGAAAAGAACACACACCAGTAGGTGCTGAAAATTGCTTCTGAAGTTCCAAAGGCTGTCAGAAGATGAGTGCAAAGGCTGACTCTGTCCTTCTCGCTTGTGTGACGTAGCTCAACATGTCTAGCTCCAAGCTCTTCGGCCAGGCGCTGCCGTGCTGGACACCTGTGCCAGTCCTGTCGACGCGTTGACTCAAACAACACCGTGGGGGTTCAATACACGTCCAACACGCTTCGAAAGACATGAAAAGACACATCGCATTTCGCTTCGTTTTGCTTTTCCACACAAAACGTGTTCCTCCCCGGCAAAGAGCACACAGGGCCATCCCTTCTCACCAGCTCCTCGCGCAAGATTTTTCAAGCTTCGTGTGCAAAGTTGAAAAACACCCTGGGTTGCTGAAACGGAACGCCACAAAGCAAACGCCAAGTGGTTGGTGTGGTTTGATTTCAAGGCAGATTCAAAATGTCAGGCTACCAATCCTACATGTCCCATCCAAAGTGACATCTGTATTATCCGGTCGAACTTCAACACATGTCTCCGTCCTTGGGCAGCGGCAGCGAGACGCAACACCGCTGCGGCACGATCCCCAGCAGGAGCTCCGGAGCCTTTGGATCTTGTCGTGAGACTGCCCAACAGTCGTATATAAGTCTGCTTTGTACTTTCCAGAAAAAAAACACTTCAAACTGCCCAACAGGCCAAGTGGGAAAGCGTCAAGTCGGCAAACTAACAATACGATCGAAGACAGTTGGTTTGACACAAAGTGACCCTCAATTGGATTTGTTCAAGCGTGTAGAGCCCTGTCTTGCAAAGGCAGGCAGGCCTTACCTTCTTGTTTTTGTCTGTTCAACTTAAAACAAGGTGTTATTTAACCTTCAGGTGTTTTTTCTGAAGGTTGTAATCCTTACAGTTTCAGCATTTATATACTCGGTCTTTCGCCTCGACTGCTCAACGCCGGACGCCAATCAAAGGCAAGGCCCCGTGCGGCACAACTGCGCCGCAGCTGCGCCACCGACCGCTCAGGCCTCGTGACGACACCGACCCATGGCGTTTCAGCTAAGGAATGGCCTCCAACCTAGTAGCAGCCAACCTTTGGTTTTCAATCTTACTACCTAAGGAGCAAGTCATTCTGGACATCTTGGAGCTCCATAAGGGCTACGACACTGGCCTTCAAAGGCGCTCTGGTTCCAGGGAAGCGTTATCATTGAGTCTTGAGAAGCTTCTGGGAAACACGAAGAGAGCTGAGAGATGGCAGAGGGATGGCTACGGCTTCGGTCATCGACCTCACTGCCGACTGCTTTGAGAAGACAATGGACGCCTGCCTAGACCACAGCATGTTGCGCACACATGTTCGACAAGTAATCAGAGACAAGCTGAGGAGAAGAAACGGCAGCGACAGCAGCGACGGCAGCAGGACAGGTTTGCAATTCAAACCACCGTGTCGAGAAGTAAGAACCCCATAGAACCACTATAATTCGTTACGGTTGTCTGCCGAACAGAAAACATTGAGAAATAGTGAGAATATAATTTTAAGACAGTAACAAGGACGCTATTAGGTTGGAGGCCATCGCTAGTAGGTTGGAGGCCATTACTACTAGTAACAAGAAGCTACTAGGGGCTCCTGGCATCGCTACTAGGAGCAAGGACATTACTAGGGTCTCCTGGCATTGCT